GATGAAAAGTTACTATCGAGATAATACGATTTGATGAGAAACTCGATAATATTAGAAAGACTGAGATATAAGCCCCAAATAGGCCAATTCAGATACCAAAAATCATAATTAAAAGCTTTTTGTTGTCATTTAAGGGACCAAACATCATCCAAATGTTACATGGTTATAGCTAAAAGGAGTGCTTTTATTTAGACAATTTTGAGAAGCCTAAGATTTCTTCATTCCAAGTGCATTATAATATTGACATGCCAAAAAATTGTATGATAAAAAGGGGTCTATTTAGAATGTTCCTACACATTTAAGAAAGACTTTTAGTTGAGGGAATTCCTTAAATCAGAGAGTTATAAGCTCTTGATCATCATTTATTCGAATTCATATGTCCGACTTTTTTTGTTCCTCTCATACTCAATCAATTTTCTCTTCAACTACAAAGACGTATGTCAACATCTTTTAGCATCTTACTTTCTAAGTAATGCCCTTTGTCGCCAACTCTACCTATTTGGATGAGGGTGGATATATGCTCGATAGTCTCTACCTATTGAGATGGCATAATCAAGAAAGGAAAAAGCCTTTGAAATAGAATTAGCTTGTGAGATGTTTGATGGAGGTAGCTAGATATTGCCCCAAAGCTTCAAGATAATTAGTGTGAAGAGAAGAGGCTTCTGGTAGCTGATGTTGAGACAGAATCCTATACTCCATTACAATTAACTCCTTACTTCTACACCTCTCAAGCTTTTGGGGAAATCCACTCCAAGGAAGAAGATCTCGATCTATCTTTCCTCTCAGTTTTTTAAAATTGTAAAAACTAAGCACTTTCGTATGGAAAATAAGAAGTATTTATTGAAACTCCAAGGTCAAAAAAGGGAAAAAATCACAACCCTACCCTACTTAAGAGATAATTAATAAATGCAAAAGACAATGAAAAAATAGACTAATTAACATTTACAAATGGAACCTCATCATGCCTTATTTTTTTTTACATAAAAATTCTATTCTCTTGCGACCTTCTTTTATTCTTACGCATGCTAAATTTTCATACAAAGGTAAGACATTAAACTCTCTCACACTACCACTACGTATGTTATGACATAGAACAATATTAAAAGAATTACATAAAAGAAAAGAAAATATATGGAAGAGCATGCAACAAAAAAATTAAATAAAATGATGAGAAAATGTGACAAAATTTTATAAAATATTTATTAAAAACTTTAAAAACAAGTTATCATTTGAAAGTGAAAAATAAAAAATAAAAATTTTTCAAAAACTAATTAGTAGTTGAATAACATGCTCAACACATACACACAATTGTCGGCTTTAGTCGATCAACCAATGACCAATGCATACCCATAGTAGCTGGCCAAACCCATTCTAGGTGTGGACATGCATTTTTTGATCCCACTACAAATATTTTTTTATTCTATTGACTTAATTTTGAAAATTTTAGGTACTAAAGACAGTTTTTAAGTTATTTTAATGAAATTTGAGCCAAATTTTAATAAAATTTATCACAAAAAAGTGTCAATTCCACTTAAGGGTGAACCTATGATCAATGGAGAATTACATGTTCAAGACCCTAGTGAGAGGTCCTAATTAATATTTAGGGTATTTTCATATGTCTTAGTATTTCTCCAAAATTATAATGTTAAGTCCGTCCCAAATATTTTGATATCTATAATATTTTGGACTCATTTTTTATGTCCAAAACTCTAAGGCAATTGTTATATCACTAAAAAAAACATGAATTTTGATACAAACTTTAGATCTAAAAATACTTATTTTTGACCAAAATCTTAAGAATTGATTATGAGATCATTTGAACTCCATTTTTAGCAAATGCATAGTCAAGATAATATGATTCCATGAGATAAACTCAATGAGGCGAGGAACACCTATATCTAATCATAAATGATCCTAAATTATATTAAACATTTAGGAGCATAAATATAAATTTCCAATGATTATTTAAGGGAGCAAATGCTCTCAAAATTTATCGTATTTATAGTCGAAATGACCATATTAATTAAACAAATCTAACGAGCCTACATTCACTCAATTCTGAATTTATTAGAGACTAAGATGTTCAAAAATATAACATGATCGATTACAATGACTTTATTTAAACAATATAATGCATTATCCATATTAAAAAAAAAAGACTAGAATATCCCCCAATAAATTTTTAAAAATACCCTATTCCTAAACATCTCAAGAGACTTTTAATATATTAGTGAGCCCAATTTTATTTCCATATAAATGCCACCTACATAAAGCTTTTCAATCCATGATTCCATAAAGATTTTCAATGTAAAAATTAAATATCTCCAATTTGAAAAATAAATCAACATTTTCAAAAAATATAACCAAAAAGAGATCATTAAGAAAATATATAAAGATATTAAAAAAAACAAAAAAACATAACCCACTCTTCCCTCTCTTCCTCCACTTTGTATCCCCTCCCCTCTCACTCAACTCAAGTTCCTTCACACTACTCTCCCCTCAACTCCCACGTGCACTTTCTCTCCTCATAATCCCTAGTCACAGACACACACACTCTCTCACTATAGGAAAAATAACAATTTTCGATAGTTTCTCTGGCGGAATGTTCGTTGTCGGAAGTAGTGACAAAATATCGGTGGACAGTCCATTGAAAAATTATGGAGGCAATTTCGATGGCATATCGGACAGAAAATCCGCCGGTTTTAAATATACCGGGATCCTCTTATTCATAATATAGATAAGTTTATGATTCTCGTCTATGAAACCTGAAGAATGGAATAAGTAATTACCCAACTATAATGCTGGAATTCTAAGTGCAAAAAGTACTTGGTCGTGAATGTAAGCAAATATATATGCTAAATAACATAAATATTGATCATAACCATCTTATTTAATAGTTTGGATTTATATTTAATGCATGTTTATTTTATCATTATTATATTTGAATGCTATATGTTGGCTTAAAAAAATAGCTTTTGTGTTTGAGTTAGTAAATCATGTTTTATTATGCTTAGTAATTACATACTTATATTTTGACATACATTTGTTCTTATGAAGGTAATCTATTTCTTGATGACACTTGTGTTTAGTGTTTGATAATAGTATTGTGCAAGTTTGTGTAATGTTATCACTTTTAATGCTTGAGCTTGTTATTCAAACACTTATTTAGTTTAGTCATTTATTCAACAATCAACAACATTACTTGACTATATTGTTAATTTTATATGATTGACTTATTTGATAAAAAAACGTATGGTTATATAGGCTTCGTTTGGAATATCTTTCTTAATACTTCTTAAAGTAAATTTTTAGTACAAAAAAAAAAAAGAATTTGTACAAAAAAACTATTTTAAAAAGTAGTAGAAAAACCGTCCCAAACGAAGCTATAATTTAGTATCATCTAAATCACATTGTCCTTAATAGAAATCACTTATTTTATAACTATCACATATTATATTATTTATCTCTTACATTTTTATGCATTAGGTTGTTTATCTAGTCATAGTAGTTCTAACTCCTATATATCACATTAATAACAACTTCCACTCTCGTATTTATAACTTCCTTAAAAATTATATTATGCATATTTTATTATTGATAGTTTTTGTAGTGCATAGTCTTTATAACTTTCACATTGTGTTTAATCATGTGTGATTTGAGTTAGGAAAAATTTTTGAAGGACATTATAAAATACTACAACAACAACAACATCAAATCTTTATCCCAATATGTGGGTTCAGCTACATGAATCCTTTTTCTCCATTGTGCCATGTTAAGAGTCAGAAATTATTATTTAAATCTAATAAAGAAATTCATTTCTAATATTTTCTATCCAAATATTTTTAGATCTACCTCTACCTTTCGTAAGATAGGCCAAATCTAATGCATCTACTCCCATAACAGGGTCAGCGTAAGACCGACATTTTACATGACCAAATCATCTAAGGCGACTCTCTCTAATCTTATCTCTCACCGGAACTACTCCAACATTTTCTCGAATATGCTCGTTATGTATCATATCTCTAAGAATAAGTCCACTCATCTGATCCACCTATGCATCCTCATCTTAGCAACACTTAACTTAATATTATATAATGAAAAAAAAAAAAATCAAATTCACACCTATTTTGATGTGCCTTTACTCTATAATTTCTAAACATAATAGTTCACATTCAATCAATTTAGAAATTTTGATTTATAAATTGAATAAACTAATTAATTTTTCTTCTAAAATTAAAAAATTAAAGTAATCAAATTATTTTGCAAATCAAATTGAATTAAACTCTATTAGCTTAGTCCAATTTTGAATTGAAATGTGATTAATTTTAATAATAAATTTATGAGCTATTTGGGATAACTTTATGTCTGCTTTGATTCTTTGACAACAATTACAATCTCCTTTGACTTTAGCTTTCTTATTATTTTATCACAACTTCTCAAGATTTCTATGATGAAAATTACTTTCTGCAGTCATAATAATTTTTTTCACAATCAACTTTATAAAATATTACAATCATCTCAAACGAACACTTAATTATCATTAGCTTAAATAGCATATATTAAAAAAAGACAAAGTAATTTTTGTTAAATTTAATAATTTTTGCTTTTAACTAACTGTTATTTATTTATTTATAGTTCCTGAATTTAGTTAATTTCTATTTAAAATTTTAATTTTTTATTTTTTATTTAATCAATTTTATAGAAAAAAAATTGAACAAATTATAAAAAAATTAAAATTATAATGAATAATTAAACTGATATTTTAGCAGCATATAAAATGTATATAATTTATCTGAATACAAATTTAAATTTGCTCATTAACTAACTCGTTGACATTAATTCATGAACATTTTTTTTTTTTTTTTGAAAAAACTTTATTTGACATTTTGACCCTCAATTTACGGCGGTAATGGGATCCTTGGTGTACGGGAGATCCGGCGGAACAGCGGAACATTTTCTCTTTCTAAAATAATGATTTCACGCTCTGAGCCTCTGAGGCTGTGAGGGAGGAGGGAGAGAGAGACCGCAACACGAAAGCAACAGCAAGAGAAGATTTTCCAAAAGAATACAACAAGCGAAAGATGAAAGAAATGGGAAGAGGAGACCAAGAAGAGGTTGGGTTGGTTCGGTTTTGTATTTCGTCTCAGCGAGGAAGAGACTGAGATATGGCTGCAAAGTCAAACCCTTGGAGCTGAAAGCGAGGAGACGGCGAAGTTCGGTAGGGGGGAAATCTCCGGCGACGATCGAGATCGGAACTCGGATGGTATTTACGATCTCCAGCGGCGGCGTTCATCGCGGATGGGAGGCGGTTGGTAAGGGTTGGTGGCGGGGGAGGCGGCGGGGCTCGCCGGCGGAGGGGACGGGGGAGTGCTCGGGGCGACCGCTGTGGTTCTTTCTGGGACGATGAGACGGGGCAAGGGCCGTAACGGGCTGCTTCCGAGTTCACTTCGTATCATCTCTTCGTGCCTGAAGACGGTGTCCACAAACGCCAGCAACGTCGCCTCTACCGTTCGATCGGCCGGGGCCTCTGTGGCTTCCTCAATCTCAGTGCCGCCCGAGGATGAGAAAGACCAGGTCCTCTCTCTCTCTCTCTCTCTCTCTCTCTCTCTCTCTATCGGTCGGGTATATTTCTTACCTCGAATGAATTTTTGTCAGTTTCCAATACATTGGTTACAGGCTAGAAATGATTGCCTTTGAGATTCTGCAATTTTTGTGGTTTTTATGTATTTTGTGTAAAGGTGGTTGAAGTTGCTCTGTTTGTAGTTAAGAAATGGAAGGAAAATCGTAACAATTCAGTTGAGTGGAGCCGTTTGATTTACATGTTGGACTAGTTCAGATCATATGATGAGAATCATTCGTTGGTTTTGAACATAGAGGATCTCATTGTTATGTCTTTACTAACTGCCATTTTTGTAATAGCTAAGTTTTGTAGTTTATTTCTTTTATCACGGAAGTTAGAACATTATGTCTATCGGAACCAGTGAATTTTTTATGTTTTACTTTCTGGCTAACACCTGATTTTTCCTAGATGGTCCATATATAGAAAGGTGCGTTCTTTCTTCAGTAAACATCCATGAAGGTGCTTGGCTAATCATGTAATGGGTTCTTATATGTTAACTGAACTATTTCATGCTTCTGCAAATCTAATGATTGTGGAGTTAATAACAATTAATCAATACCGTTGTAGAATTAAGTAATTACCTTGAAGATTTTGATATCCTGACTTTGTTATTTGAAATAATGGGTATTTAGAGCATGATATAAATTGTCAATATAAAGTAGGTGGTTAAATTGAAAAAGTTTCTCAGAAGTATTATTTGATAAAAGTTCCAATGAGAGTTGAGGTAACTTTTATTAAAAGAAAAAGAATGCTATTTATGTTGAATTGATCCTACAACATAGAGTTAACACCAATTGAAGAAAAAAAAGACCGGCACAAAATAGAATTGACATCTCATGTTATTGTCAACTAAAATGAATGGAGGAGGATTCTGAAAATTATTCCCACTTTGTTAGGATAAAGCTAATAAGAATTTTGTATTGATGGAATGTTCCACAACAAAGAGATTGGTTACAACGTTAAGCATGACAAGAAAGAAGGAATATTTAGGTTGATTTGTAAAAATAAAAAGAATAAGTGTGAAATGATTGTATTAACCATTAGGATATGTTTGGTTTTTTGAAAAATTGAAGTAAATTGTCTACATACGGGTTATTTTTTTGGTTTGATTTGAAGTGAAGATGATGGAATATGGTTACTACATACTTCACTTTCTTCACATATTTGTTGCAAAATTAATGCAGCCAAATCAACTGCAATTTCTTTACTAAGATTTACTTTAAATTTCATTTTCTTTATGACAACCCAAAATTCATTCGTTGCAACACATTCTAGTTGACGAATGAATTTTCTCCACTAGCAACACATTCTAGTGAGGCTGAAAGAGTAGTCTGTGAAAACAATTAGCAATATTTCTGCTTACGAGTAAGATTTTCTTTACTCAGACCTTTGCGCCTTTGCCAACTGGTTTAATTTAATTAAAAGTTGATATTACTGCTTACAAGTAATGCTTTATCATTAATTAATTTATAATCTCCGAAGCATTTTTTGAGTAAATATGAGACGTTCCTGGCTATTGCATGATTAAATTAAGATGTTCGTCCAGATTTCTGGAGTTAGATGACTTAAAAGGCTAGATAATTGTGATATTTATTAGCAACATCTGCAGTTTTGTTGTCCATATTATCTTGACTTTGTAACGACACTTTTTTAGTATGAACTTCCATCGGCTTAGTTTCTCAAAAGGCTACTTCATTGCTGATTTTCATATTATTTCCTTCATGTAATTTTGCTAAATTTTGGTTTTATTATATGATAATGCAGGAATGTGTCCTCCCTTATAGCTAAAGTTTGATTAGAATTTTGTCTCACATGCATCTTTTCCATCACACAATTCTTCTGGTTTATTACTTTATTTTTCATACAAATTTTCATTAGGCATTTTAATTTATTCTTGGAACATGCCTTGTGTTTAAGCTTTACTACTTGAACATTTATTAGGGGTTGACTTTGACAAGTTAGATTTCTTCTTCCTTCAAACATATTCTTCTACTTGTGCAAATCTTCCATTAAACCTTTTAATTTGTTCTAGGAAAATGCTGTTTGTTTAAGTGTTTAGATTTGAACAGGTATTATGGGTTGGCTTTGACAAGCTAGAGCTCAGTCCAACTTCCTTCAAACATGTTCTTCTACTTGGTTATGCCAATGGCTTTCAAGTACTTGATGTTGAAGATGCCTCAAATGTCTGTGAGCTGGTATCAAGGCGTGATGGCCCAGTTACATTCTTGCAGATGCAGCCCATCCCAGCCAAATCAGAATGGGAGGGGTTTAGGTCATCACATCCAATGCTGTTGACTGTTGCTGGTGATGAAACCAAGGGATCAGGCATGGTCCAAGGTGGCCGCTTGAGTGCATTGATTCGAGAAGGTTCAAGTGAGCCTCAGCAAGGAGTCTGCTTGAGTGCTCCTACTGTTGTTCGCTTTTATTCGCTAAAATCACACAGTTACGTGCACTTTCTCAGATTTCGATCTGCTGTGTATTTAGTTCGATGCAGTCCCCGCATTGTGGCTGTGGCTCTTGCGGCACAAGTAAGCAGCTTTTTCTTACAAAAAATAGAAAATATGATTATTAAAAGTAGGAAATATGGCCTTATATCTCTTTGTTTAAACACATTTGGATCAGAAAAATAGTTAATTATACTTTTTGTTTAAGCATGCTTATTTCTCATTTCTTGCAGATATATTGCTTTGATGCAGCTACTCTTGAGAACAAGTTCAGTGTATTAACCTACCCATTGCAAGGAGCAGCTGGAGTTAATATTGGCTATGGTCCCATGGCTGTTGGTCCAAGATGGTTAGCATATGCATCTAATAACCCACTTTTGTCAAATACAGGGCGCCTCAGTCCGCAGAACCTGACACCCTCGCCTGGAGCTAGCCCATCAACTTCACCAGGTAGTGGTAACTTAGTTGCTCGTTATGCAATGGAGTCTAGCAAGCAGTTGGCTTCTGGATTACTAAGCATTGGAGACATGAGTTATAAAACTCTGTCAAAATACTACCAAGAGCTTGTTCCTGATGGTTCTTGCTCCCCCTTGGCACCAAATTCTAATAGAAGAACTGGAAGGCTTCCGCTAGCAACACATTCTAGTGAGGCTGATAACGCTGGAATGGTTTGTTTGAGCTAGCCATTTAATGCATACTATATTACTAATTGTTTTCACAGACTACGCTTAATTGCACTTTTGAATTTGTTTTTTTTTTCCTATTAGTTTAACTTTAACCATCTATCACCTTTTTGACAATCTTTAATACAGGTAATGATCAAGGATTTCATTTCTAAAGAGGTTATTTCTCAATTTAGGGCTCATACCAGCCCAATATCTGCTCTTTGTTTTGATCCCAGTGGTACCCTTCTAGTAACAGCTTCTGTAAATGGGCACAACCTGAATGTATTCAGAATAATGCCTACCTGCATAACAAATGCTTCAAACTCCACATATTATGATTGGACTTCTTCGCATGTACATCTTTACAAACTGTATCGTGGATTAACATCAGCTGTAAGTATCTAGAAATCTTGCACCTAATATGGAGCTTTGAAATCTATAGTTCATGGTTTGTTTTCCTTTATTTTTGTTTCAGGTCATACAGGACATCTGTTTTAGTCATTATAGCCAGTGGATTACAATAGTTTCATCAAGGGGTACATGCCATATTTTCTTAATGTCCCCTTTTGGTGGTGATGCTAGTCTTCAACAACAAAGTCCTTACTATGATGGGCCAAACCCTGTTCCTAACCTTACAATGCCATGGTGGTCAAGCTTATCTTGTATGATAGAGCAGCAATTTCTTCAACCTCCGCCACCTTTGACAGTTTCTGTTGTTAGTAGAATTAAAAATTTTAGCTCGGGATGGCTTAATACTGTCAGCAGTGTCACTGCATCTGCAGCTGGGAAGATTCCCATACCCTCGGGTGCAATAGCTGCTGTATTCCACAATTCTATAAGCCGTCCTATACCACCAGTTCATGCAAACAATTGTTCATTGGAACATTTGTTGGTCTATTCTCCTTCTGGCCATCTGATTCAACATGAACTTCTACCATCATCAGGGGAAGAATCCAGTGATAGCAGCTCAAGAAGCGAATCTGGTCCTTTATTGCAGTTTCAAGATGAGGAGTTACATGTAAATATTGAATCAGTTCAATGGTGGGACGTATGTAGGAGGTCTAATTGGCCTGAAAGAGAACAAAATGTTCCTCAAGTTACCTTTTATGCTGAAAATAATATAGAGACAGTCATGGATACACCTGACAGCGGTATTGGCAATAATTCATGTTCTGTGCCATCTGCCAAATTATTGGCTGGAAAAGAGACTTTAAAAGCTCATGAAAGGCCTCATTGGTACCTTTCAAATGCTGAAGTGCAGGTTTGCTCCGGAAGGATGCCAATATGGCAGAAGAAGAAAGTAATCATTTTAATCCCTGCTTTATGCATACAGTTCTTTAGTTTTTTTTTCTTTGAATGATCGGTCAACCTAAATGAAATTCAATGTTTTTATTTATTTTTTCTCTAGATATGTTTTTATGTGATGTTGCTATCAAGAACTAATGAGAACACTGCTTATGGTTGTGATGGTGGGGAGATTGAAATCGAAAAACTGGCATTCCATGAAGTTGAAATAAGGCGAAAAGATTTATTGCCTGTTTTCAAGAGCTCCAATTTAGTTCGTGGGGATGGGTAACCTCTAACAACCTCTCTTAATTTTCTCTTTTTGGTGTACTTATTCATCTTGACAAGCATATTAAATACTTATTATATTGTTTGCTTCTAATGAGAAATATAGTAATCTTTGCTGAAAGCTAATCTGACTGTCGCTACCTGATGTGTGGTTATAAATAGGTACAGTTTCTTGTCAAGATGCCTATGGTATAGTTAATCAGCTTGATTTTGTGATAATAATCTATCTATATTAGAGAGATTCTCTGTTAATTTTGACTCACAATCAGGAAAGATTTTAGTATTGGATTATTCCTATGGAGATCGGATGGTTACGATTGTTGATTACACCTATAAGAGGAGTTCTCTTAGCTTTTGGTCTGTAAACTTGAAGGTTTTCTATGATATAACCTCTCAGTTTAGGGTTTCATGTGCCTTTGAAAAAGCAAGACATCCTCTCAAGCTAGGATTTGTTGTAGTGCAAATCTTTTGGTTTTGGCCTCTCTTTGAAGACAATTTTGTAAGATTTTAACATTGACGAGCGACAGTAGCTAGGGTTCCAAAATGTTTTTTCTTGGTGGTCGGTATTCTGCTAAGAAGCAATTGTTTTGTATTCGATATTTTTTTTATAAAATTCTTCGTTGTTTGTGAAGGGTGTACTTAGGATTTTGAAAGGATGGTGAAAGTTCTTTTTTTTTGTGCAATTGTTATGAAGTATTAAATAGTTGTTTGAATCCTCTTTCCTCTCTTATAAATATTGGCTTGATGAAAATTAAATGACATAAATCTTTATTTCTTTTGTGTCATGTGTTTTTTTCCTCCCTTCGATTGTTTAGAGCATATTGAATTTGATTATGATAATTCTTCCATATTTAGTGTTTTTGTGCAGTCGTTACTTCAATCTTGTTAAGGCACATGAGATCAAATAATCTAGTCCTTATCAGATCAACAACAACATCAAGCTTTTGTCCCACTACGTGGGGTCGTCTATATGAATTCTTTCTCTCCATTATATCATGTTAAAAGTCAAATTCTCATTTAAATCTAATAAAGAAATATTATTTCTAATATTTTCTAACCAAGTCTTTTTAGGTCTACCTCTACCTTTCTTAACATAAGTCAAATCTAATACCTCTACTTTTCTAATCGGGTCATTGAAAGGTCGTCGTTTATGTGACCAAACCATCTAAGGCGACTCTCTCTAATCTTATCTTCCACTAGTGCTACTCCAACCTTTTCACATATATGCTCATATTGTATCCTATCTCTAAGGCTAAAGCCACTCATCCACCTAAGCATCCTCATCTCTGCAACACAACTTAGTATTATGCTTCTCTTTTAATAGCCAACATTCGATACCATAAAGCATTGCAGGTCTCACCACCATTTTATAGAATTTCCCTTTAGTTTGAGAGGGACTTTTCTATCATATAACAAGCCCGTTGCATTCCTCCACTTCAACCATCAAACTTGAATTCTGCTGATAATATCCCCATCTATTTCACCATCACTCTGAACAATAGATCCAAGATATCTAAAACGTGTACTCTTATTAATGATTTGATTGCCCAAAGTCACAATCCCTTCACTATATCTATTACTACTAAAATTAGACTCCATATATTCAGTTTTAGATCTACTCAAAAGAAAACCTTTAAACTCTATGGTTGACCTCCATAATTCGAGTTTACCTTTAACTGTTGCTCTAGTCTTATCCACAAGAAGAATATCATCAGCAAAAAGCATACACCAAGGTATATCCTCTTGCAAATATTTAGTGAGAACATCCATGACTAAAGCAAAAATATATGGACTTAAGGCTGATCATTGCTGTAATCCAATAGAAATAGGAAAATGCTTGGTTAAACCACCTTGTGTTTGAACACAAGTAATAGCTCCTGCATACATATCTTTAATGATTTGAATATAAGCATTATTAATTCATTTCTTTTCAAGAACTCTCCATAGCACTTCTCTTATAACTTTACCATATGTTTTCTCTAAATCAATAAATATCATATGTAGATCATCTTTATTCTCTCTATATTTCTCCATCAAACCTCTCAATAAATATATGGCTTCCATAGTAGACCTACCCGGCATGAATCCAATTTGATTTTCAGAAACATTAGTATCACGCTGCAACCTATGCTTCATAACTCGCTTCCATTGTTTTAAAGTATGACTTATTAACTTAATTCCTCTATAATTCGCACAATCTTGTGCATCACCTTTATTCTTAAAAATAGGAATTGACACACTCATTCTCCACTCATCTGACATCTTTTTAGTCTTCAAAACAGTATTAAAAAGTTTAGTAAGCTAAAAAATTTCTTCATCTCCTAAGCATTTCCACACCTCTATTGGAATATTATCAAGTCCAACAGTTTTTTACACTTCATTTTCTTTAAAGTCTCTCTAACTTCGGTTTTATTAATACGCTGTTAAAAACAAAAATTTTTATTTTAATTTAAGGTGTTAAGGTTATTAAAGTCAATCATATTTTACATTCTTCATTAAAAAGTTTTGCAAAATATCTCATCCACCTTTATTAAATATCTTCTAAGAAAATTACTTTTTGATTTCATCCTTAATAAATTTCACTTGAACTAAATCCTTACTACTCCTATCATTTTGTTTGGCTAATTTATACATATATCTTTCTCCCTCCTTAGTATCTAATTTGTTATATAAATCATTAAAAGTTAAGATCTTTGCATCGTATATTATTTTCTTAGATTCATTGCGTACCTCTTTATATCTTTTCCAATTATAAAAAAATTTTACAGCTAAACCAATTTTTATAATAAATTTTCTTATTTTTTATCTTTTCGTGTACATTTGAATTCCACCACCAACTATTTGTACTATTAAGAATTTTTTTCTTTGATGCTCCAAGCACATCTTTTGCAATATTCTTAATATCTCTAGACACTTTATCTCACATAACATTAGTATCCACATGCATAGAAAAAATCTTGATATCTAAAATCTTACTCTAAAAAATATTTTTTATTATTATTCGTTAAATGCCCCTATCTAATCTTAGAATATCGTTTTACTTTATTTTTTAGTTTCTGTCCTTTTATCTTAAAGTCCAAAACTAATAATCAATATGGGGTACATAAATTTTCGCTTGTAATAACTTTACTATCTTTGTAATCTAAACGATCTAATTTTCTTATATAATTTTCTTATAAGAAAATAATCAATTTGAGTTTTATTATATCCATTTTTTATAAGTGATGAGATGCTCATCTCTTTTCTTAAAAAATGTATTAACAATTAAAAATCATAAGCTAAAGAAAAATATAATATAATCTTACTACATTCATTTGTTATTTAAAACTTATGACCACAATAAATATTTTTAAAATTATTTATCTATTTATCAACATGTCTATTTAAATCTCATCCAATAAAAACTCTTTCTTCAAGATGTATCTTTTGTATTAATTCTTCTCAGTTAGTCCAAAATTTTAGTTTTGATCTCATATCCAAAACTATTTGAGCATAAGCACTTATAATATTAATAATCTTAGCAACAACAACAATCTTTAAAGCTATAATTCTATTTCTAATTCTATTAATTTTTATAACATTATCCTTCAAACTTTTATTTATAATCACACCTACATCATTTATAGTACGACTCCTACTCGAATACCATAGTTTAAATCCTAAACTATCATTCTCCTTAGCCTTCTTTCTAACCTATTTAGTTTCTTAAATGCACCGAATATTTATCTTCCTATAAATCATAATATATATTAATTTCATTAATTTTTATGTAAATAAACCTATATTGTCACGACCCGGCCGGGATGCTCGACTTAACGAGGCAGGAACTAAGGTATTATCATTCCATTCTTTTCAATAATCACATTAACATAAAATCTCTCAAAGCAACTAAAGAGCCACTATAACAAAGATATTTCATAAAATCTATTCATTTCACTTTTCAAAGTTAATAATTACAACAATAATAATTTATCTATTTTCATTGTTGCGTCGTCTTTCGGACCAATTCTAATCTTTGGAATCTTACCTGAAAATATTTATTTAATGGAATGAATTTACAAACTAAACTTAGTGGGTAACTGTTAAAACAATTAACATGAAATAAAAAATACAATACATATAACCTTTAGTATACATCTTAATCATTTCCCTTCGTTATCTTTAGTTCATTCATTTCAGTCATATATGCATATCTTATCACATTTCTTTATAACATTTATAAAGCTTTAATATTTATTACTTTTTCCATTTAATTTGTATAGGAGCACTGTCTATATGTACCAAAGGTACAACCATTTTCATTTTCATTCTTCTTTTTCATAATATTTTCCTTTTTACCTGCACGGGTATGTTACTTTCCCAGTTAGTATCATACGGGGGTGAACTCCTATAAGTTTGCATGCATATACCTTTCCCTTTTTTATTTATCTTTCATTCATTCATATATCATTTATTCGTATGCATACTTTTTAAATACATATAAGTAATATATATAACTGCTTTCTATTTTTTCTTTCTATTTCCTTTACCTTATTTCATATATTCATGGCATCTCTACATACTTTTATCAGGATAATTTATGTGTATTATCTTATATACATTTGAATTTTACATAGCTTTATTCATAATAACCTCAAAATAAGCAAAGCAATTATATAAATATTTCTTTCAATATGAAAATGGAAATGAAATAATGAAATTTCAAATAACTATAATTACCCATTTTATTTTCCTCTCCAATATTCATCTAGTTTTGAAAATCTTTAAATGTTCACAAGAGTATAACAATTTAATTAATATTAAATATCAATTAAATAAACCAATGGGCATTTGATTTCTTCTACAAAACTTACCTCACAAGATTTCATTTGTTGAATTCTTAAAGAACCCAACTCCTACAACTTGCTTTCTTTCTGTCTAAAGTTCCTAAAACTAAATAATATAATTTTCATGAAAAAAATGATATAATAATAAATCTATGAAAATTTATCTGAAAGAGA